CTGTGGGAGCCAGAATTCTTGCTGGTTGGTAGGGGATCAAATACTTATTTCACTCACTGAAATGCAAATCAATCTCTAACCTTTATATAATGTGTTTTTTCTGGATTTTTTGGTTGGTATTCTGTCTCTATAAGTTAAAATAAACCTACCACAGAAATGAAGGGTCTGTAATTTTTATAAGTGGGCAAACTTACAAAATCAGCAGGGGATCATATAAATATTTTCCCCACTGTATTTCTTGATTTATGCCTTAGTTTTAGGTTGTAATGTTTACCTTTTTTAAAGTAATGCAAAATTGATATTTTTATTTATTTATTGTATTTTTTATTTATTTTTATTGATATATTTGTATTTGCATTTTGAATGTAATTTGGCAATTAAATGCATTAAATTGATTTATTTTTCACAGTTATTAATGTATGCAATTTCAGCAAAAAAATGTTAGTTGTTTAAATTAGCAAAAAAAAAAATTTGTTGTTTATTTTAAGAGACCTATCTTGTTTTCTTTTGTATATTTAGTATTGCTCTTTAATAAAGAAAAATTACTTCTTATCCGATTACTCGATTAATCGATGGAATAATCGGTAGAATACTCGATTACTAAAATAATCGATAGTTGCAGCCCTAAATATCAGTAGACAGTACAAACATGAAAGACGAAAAACACCATTAAAATGCAAAAACTATTATAAAACACTTCTTAAGACAACAGAACGTAGTTACCTTTATTTTTTTGCTCTGCAACCTGAAACAAGGAAAAAAATAGTCAGTATGGATATTTAAAATTACTAACATTATTAAAAGTACAGAACAATGTTTGCTAGGACAATGCCCGAGTTTTATTCCTCCATAGATTTGTGCCACGCATGACTTGATGACAGATATCATGATGCTGCTGAATGGCTGATTCTGATTCAGAAACATTGACAGCCAATCAGAATCCACCCAACTTCAATGAGTTTGAGCATTCAAAGCAGCAGATGACAGCTCACGCTTAGAATATTGTCCGTTGGTGTGGACGCTAATAAAGTTAGTGTTCTGGGTGTCAACAGTCCTTTACAGTCTACCCACAGCAAAAGAACGAGAAAAACATAGACAATGGCTAAGCAAAAAAATTACAGAAAAAAAGAACAAGATGACAAACTACTTCATATCCAATATTACTTTTAGTATCTCTAGTTCTAAAATAACTCTCTGACAAACTAGTAACAGTGGCTTGGATGACTTTCAAATTATTAACAAGATGCTAAATCATTTCTACACACATAAGCTGAAAAAGTGACTCCAGAATGCGCACCTACACTGTGGCCGCATGTATTACCACCACAGGATGTGCATTAATTTACTATAATTTAACTGTCAAACATAATTAAATCATACGTAATATAACAATTACCTTCTGTGAGGTTTCCCGTTTCCTTTTATCTTCCTTTTTCCTTTTCTTGTCTTCCATGAACTGCTGTTCCCTTTTCTGGTGCTCCTTTCTACAAAAATCATGAATTACTGTTTAAAAAACAATTTTGGTCAAAACAAACATGCCTATTTTTGTCTATGTATGCACGACCAAATATCTGGAAAATGAACAGTTTCACTGAGTATCACCTTCAACCAGTTGGCTGTTACCAATCCAAATGCATAACAGCGGCACCAAACACATTATCATTTTATCACAAATCACTGTATATGTAACATCAATGGTATGCTGTTTTAGGCTCAGCCTGAGTTTGCATATGCCATGCATTAAAAGGGATGCCGATTAAAATCATACATGATCTTCATAATGGGAGAAACTCCTGCTGCTATCTGTCTGTGAGCCTGCAGTTGGCAGGGCAGAGCTGTCGGACAGGGGCTCCCTTCACCCGCCCATTTCCTCCGGTGCAATATATGATATTACATACACTCCATACGTCAGCTATTTGAACGATTCGTGCAAAAACAAGTATTAAAACGAGTGTTTAACGGCAAAAACTGAAATAGTGAGTTAAGTCGTACGCTTTTGTGGTCCTGCCAAACTCGGATGCATGTTACTGCCCATGTAATTTGGGCAGGTGGAATGACCTGCCCAAATCAATCCGAGCAGCTGAGTCCTTAACCATCTTCAAGAAACGACTAAAAACACACCTGTTCCACCTTTATTTGACCCTCTAACTCTAGCACTTTCTTATTCTATTCTATTATTCTATTCTAATTCTTAATTATTATTTAAAAAAAACTAAACAAAAAAAAACAAACAGCGTCTGCTAAATGACTAAATAAATAAATAAAATAAAATGTTAACTTACCGAGTTGGCTAGTTTGTTAGCAAGATAAAATTGACACATACTAAACGTAAATCTCAGGTAGTTTTGTTAATTTCCCCCAGAAGCCGCCGATTATTTGTATACGGATCACAAGAAAAATCAAAAGGGTAAGCAACTGTCAAAACCAGACATGCATAAATATGCCTTTGGTCAAATATTGGAAGCAATAGCGAGCCAGGACTATAAGACGAGGATACACTGCCCATCAAAACCATAAAGCCACCTCATATTTGTTTTCATTTAATGCAAACATTGTCTAGATTAATTAGTAAGGTACTAAATACGCACGGGTATGTTTTTACGATCGACCAGCGGAAAGCTGAAGTTGCTTTCCAGACCAGACAGATGCTAACTAGCTGGCTAGCTAGTTTAACTAGCAACGAGCTAATGGCTAACAGATGTCGACGAGGAAAAACTGTATCGCGCATAAATGCTTTCAAGCTAATGCGGTTTTTCAAATGCATACGACTGTCAATAGTAATAAACAACATGTTATATGATTTGCTCTTTAAAACAAAGCACTTAACTTACCTCAGGAATTACATGCACCGCAGCTAGTCTTCTAGCTAACGTTACAGCTAAAGTGCTTAAGTGCGAATTTCTAGGTTTTGAGGCAACGTGAAATACAACACTCCATCAAAATTTAATAGCTAGTCATGAAAACACTCCTTCTATAGTTTTTAAATATGAAATACCATAATGTAAACGAAAGAGGCGGAATCTATGTTTAAAGCGCTGTAAAGCCAGTTGGTTGACGGTCGGCCATTTTACTGCTCGGTGTGAATGTGTGTGTCTGGACAGATCTGACGGAAGGGGGGCAGCCGGGGGAGATTTTTGACCTTCAATATTAAAAGTCCAATAACTCTTTCTATAATAATAAAAAAAAAAAATTAACCGTTTATTTTGAGGTCTAGCACTTTTTGTATGGTTGTTCATTGCGCATAAAGTACATAAGGCACATAATTCTCATGCATCATCAGCAGAGGCGGACAGTAACTAAGTACATTTACTTGAGTATTGTACTTAAGTACACTTTTTGAGTATCTGTACTTTACTTGAGTATTATTTTTTTCTGGGAACTTATGACTTTAACTTCACTACATTTGTACAATAAAAAATTAAGTACAACAGGTTTGCATATTTAAAAAAATATTTTTATGTTGGCATTGTACTAAAAATATTAAAGACAAAAATATTATCTGGAAAAAAATTCTTATTTATTAATCTTTTGTCTACCCACTGTACAAAACTGTCCATTGAATAAAATAATCATGATTAATTCATGGTTTCCAGTCATGTTTTATAATGCAGAATGAAAAAATAATAATAAAGTCTTTTTTACACTTTTCTTTTCAGCTGATTTTTTTTTTTTTGCTCTTGTGGTGCCTTGGGGGTCCCTGGGTCCAAGTTTGAAGTTTTGAAACTTGTTTTAGCATCATTTTAAGTATAAAATGTTGTTTGAAATATGTTTTTATTGCACTTTAAATCTCTGAGTTAAAAAACGCCAAACCACTTTTTGGTTATTACTAATATCTACTAATTACTAACATTAGGCCATAAACATTAGTAATGTTTTCATCAGTACAGATTATTATCATTAGTAATGTTTTCATGAGTATAGTTTATTTTCCATGGTGTCCAACAAGAATGTGTAACCACATGTTTATTCTTGACTCAGAAAAATATGGCCCCAAGAAAAAAAGGCGAGAAGAAAAGGAATACAGAGGAGGTTACTGAAACAAAGGAGCCACAACATTCTGGTGCAGAACCATCAGATGGCAGCAGCAGAGAAGAAAAAATGGCACGGAAAAGGAAGATGAAGCCAAAGAAAAAATACATAGGTGCTCACGTCTCAATATCAGGTGAGCAAAAAAGCTTTTTTCTAAATAAGGTGTTTGTGCTGAATGCATATCAATTTTAAAAATATTCTTAAGGAGGAATATGGAAAGCAGTCGAATCAAGTGTGGCCATAGGAGGTCATGCTTTTGCACTTTTCTTGGGCTCCCAGCGCTCCTGGACGAGACCAGCCCTTGATACAGCAGCTGCAGTTCAATTTCAAGAAGCCTGTGCTCAACATGGCTTTGATCCGATACACATCCTGCCACATGGATCTTATTTGATGAACTGCGGTTCCCCCAAAGAAGGTTTGTGCGCTGACTGTACACGATGTGTGGTTCTGTGCATGCACCAAATACAGAATATTCAAAAACAGCTCAGTTGATTTAATCAATTTTCAGTCCTATAATTAGTACTCTAGGCTGCATATGTTTTATATTTAAGATTGTATGTCAGATGACTCTGCATTTTTAAATCCAGACGTGTTCAGTAAGAGCCAGACCATGCTTGTGGATGAACTGAGTCGCTGCAGTGCACTGGGCCTCAGCCAGTTTAACTTTCACCCTGGAGCTTCTATAGACTCCACCCCTGAGAAATGCATGGAGAAAATTGCCCAAGCTATTAACCACGCACACCAGCAAACCCCTGCTGTCATTACAGGTCAACTATACAATCCTGATGATTTCTAGAGAATGTGCAATTGTGCTCATGCTTTCTGGTAAATTTAGCTGAATAATGTTCTTCTTTCTTTCTTTCTTTTGTTCTTTATTTTCCTTCAATAGTACTTGAAAACATGAGTGGTCAGGGCAGCACTATAGGTGGGCAGTTCAGTGAACTGAGAAGTATAATAGACCGGGTACGTGACAAGACACGTGTTGGGGTGTGTCTGGACACTTGCCATGCTTTTGCAGCAGGTATGGTATGAAGTCCCATAGATATTACTACAAATTATTTATTTTACATAAACAATGTTTACATGTCCACAAGACAAAATAATAGCTGAATTCCTAAAATCAGAATCAGAATGAGCTTTATTGCCAGGTATGTTTACACATATTATAGTAGGAAACATGATGCATTAAGAGCCAGGGGGGTGAAAACCTTTGAACATGATGAAGATGTGTAAATTTTTTTTATTTTGTTGAAATATCATATTTTTTCCATTTAGTACTGCCCTTCAGAAGTTACAGAAGATGTTGTTTCCCAGAAGACAAACAAAATACAAGTTAAATTTACCCTGATCTTCAAATTCAAAAAGGTTTCACCTCCCGGTTAATGCATCATGTTTCCTTCTTGAGCATTTGCATACGAGTCCCTCAGTTGTCATCTGTGTGACCTCTTATTTTGGTAAAAAATAATTAACATTTTGCAGATTCTGCAAGATATATATATATTTGAGATTTGAGTTGATTCTCTTCTGTATAGGCTATGACATTTCACCACCTGGAGGAGTGAAGAATATACTTGATTAATTTGATCGTGTGGTCGGGTTGCATTATTTGAGAGCCATTCACTTAAATGACTCCAAAGGTATCCAACATTCATTTGAACTTATCAATATAGAGTGCTGCTGGAATTTGTAGGCCAAAACCAAGAAACAAGTTAGCACTTTAGCATGTTCCATTCCCTCGTCCTGAATTCTATTTTGATTAAATGCCTGAAATAAGGTCTGTGGTTAAAGCAGCATTATGTAACTTTTGGCGCTCTAGCGGTTAATAAACACAACTGCACACATCCCGCGGAAGAACATTCCAACCGGAGCTACTTCTCTAAGTTTATGTCTATGGCGATTCACGCAGGTGTGTGTTACTCCGCAGCGGTGACGACCCGACCAGGCTACAATAGTCCAAATATAAGTACTTATTATAAGTGTACCGTAGTGATTCGGAATAAGACAAAAACGCGGTTTGGAAGATTAATTCATGATGTACTCGCTCATTATATACATTTAGCAAATTTTGAAAACAGAAAAAGTTACATAGTGCTGCTTTAACACAAACTCAATATATTTTCACGTTTCTACATCATTAAATAAATCAGTAATGCACCCCTATGATTTTTTAAGCTAAAGCCAATGGAAAAATCCTATTGGATTTTTATCGAGGGAACCAGAGTGAAGCTAAATTCTTGGTTGGCCTACAAAAATAAAAAGTCTTCATCACAGCACTCTATTGCTGTAATTGTTTGTGGAGTGACTTAATTTATATGCAAAACACTGACAGTGTGACAAGTTTAGCTATATATCCCATATTAAGTAGCTTTGTAACTTCTTTTGAGATTGCGTAATTTTTCTTTAAAAAGGAAAATTAGGCTGCCATCTGGACCGCCATGAAGACATTGGATGTGGCCAAATAGGCATTACTGCTTTCCGAGAAATTGTTAATGAGCCTCGACTGGATAATATCCCTCTGATTCTAGAAACACCTGGTCGGTAAGTTTCAGGTTGGATAAACAACATTTTGTTGTAAATTAAATGAACAGGCACCACTGACATGCATTTAATCTGCATCCTCTCTTTCTAGACCAGGTTTTGAGTATGCTGAACAGATAGAGCTCCTATACTCCCTTTGTGAAAAAAAGAAGAAGAATTAAACATCTGCTTGGTGCCGGCTTCCATGGTGGAGTTATTATGGGTGAAGCATAATAATAAATATTTGCCTGTTTATGACATGCTGCATCTTTAATAATCGAGCATTTAAGGAGGTCTCTATTTAATGAGGTTATCTTTATTGCTGTTCAAATACTGATTGTATTTGTTTTTGGTCACAGATGTTTTTCATTTTTTTCTGTTCATTAAATAAGTGATTTAATTTAGTCTTCCCACAGGTTGAATAGATCAGTATTTCATAAGACTCGGTCTACATTTTGACCATAAGAGGGAGCCAGGAGCCAGAATATGGACACAAATGTCAGAAGCAGCAACTGTAAGCCTGTTCATTATGCGGCATGTCTTTTCAATGTTCTTCAAAATTCTCCCTCATATCTTTCTTGTAAGTTAGAGGGAACTACTTTAATTTGTTGACCATCTTCACCCATCAGCCCAGACCAGTTGCTGAGTCCCACCTCAGGTACAGCTGCTCTCACAGAGGGTGCAGCTCTGCACATTCACAGCCCATCATTAGCTGGCCACATGCAGTCGTGCAAAAACACATTTTTAGTAAAGCTGCCATCTGTAAGCATGAAAATGCCATTTATGTGATGACATTGGCAACGGTAGGATTTTGGGAAGTTTAACATGCCAACGCCTATAGAAGTTGTTTTAGACCTTTAAAGTAGCAGTAGGAAGGATGTTTCAAAGTATGAATTTATACAGGAAGACAGAAATGCGTTGCACTGGAATCTGCTACTCCTGTGCCAGCCAACAGGAAATATCATTCAGGGAGATAAGAAACCACAGGGCAAAGCAGAGGTTTTGAAACGTAATCATAAGAAGTATGTGAGTGAATATGTATACATATCTAATGTTTTGGCCCTGCTCTGTGTTGTTTTGGTTCCTCTTGTTTCATCCAGACGATAACTATTTGGTACACATGTGGCACGAAAAATGTTTCCTGGTCTCATTTTTACCACATAGACTTTACCTGAAATTAAACAACTTATTAAAGAGAAATCGGGAGTAAAGTTAATTAATAGAGCCTGAGGTTTGAAACTCAGAGTCTGTTATACTTAGTGTTAAATACTTGATTCTATAAAAAGGGCTATAATCAGTGTTGGGGAAAGTTACTTTTAAAAGTAATGCATTACAATATTGCGTTACTCCCTAAAAAAGAATGGGAAAACAAAGTAACTCGAGTTACTTATTTAAAAAAAGTAACTCAGATATTTTATTGTAAATTAAAAAGTAATGCGTTACATTACTAGTTACATGAAAAAAAGTAATCTGATTACATAACTCGCGTTACTTGTAATGCGTTGCCCTCAACACTGGCTATAATATTCTGTAATATCTAATTTTTTAGACATGCACAATTCAGCTTACCTTAAAAACAGCTAAAGGCAAAGTCAAAGAAGAACAAACTGTTTTGAGGCTGCAGGACTCCTGCTAAGCAAGGGTTGGGCCTTCACATAATATCAGATGTTACTGTTTGAACAGTAGTTTACCCCATGTCGCACATTTGTTGGGATCTGTCAGAACAAACGTTTCACATGTTGGCTGTGTGAAATGAACAGCACAGTTTCTGAGTGTCCTTAAGAACTGCAAATGCCAATGTTTTGGTAAGCGCATGTAACATCAGGCTTAGCAAAGCCTCACATCAACAGACTGAAAGCCTTATGAGCCAGATGACGCAGCGCCGGATCATGAGCAAAATCAATGTAACACAGACTTTTTCTACTGAGTTTCTCACAAATCACAAACCAACTGCAATTTCTCTAGTTTTAGTGTAATGTTTGTCAGCAAGAAAAGACAAATGTAAGATTTATTCAGATTTATGTCGAACCACATGAATGTGCATCCTTTTTGACTTGCATTCTTCAGCAAACGCATTGAATGAGGTAACCATTTAACGGTGCAGTTAGTGAAATGGCTGTATATGGCTTTGACTGTGTCTCCGCTGCTGACCCGTCCCTTACCAAGGAATTTTCCGGAGTGGTGGCTGGGCATAGAGCCACAGAGCGACAGGCCTTCACACACAGCGGCCCAGAGGCCACAGGCTCCAGCCTGGTCCTCCAAGAGTTCTGTTGCTCCGGTAACCACATAACAACCAGATAGTCTGTGCCTGCCAGTGAATATTTACTTTCCTGAAATTTAGCTGAAGGATGCAGATGGATATTTTGATGCAGTGCTA